CGAGGTCACATATATAGCACCGAATGGCAAACAGCGACTAAAGATGCTGAGTATCTACTGAACTGTCGATGTGTCTGAATATTGGTAATGCCCAACGCCCGGTTGCTTGGTGTCATACCTAGGTGTGAAAGGAGACTAGTCATCTTCAAATGTATTTAACAGACTATGGCTCGGAGCAGCCTTCATTCCCACCTGGTTTCCCAGTTTTATTGGCAAAGCTGTTTACAGTTGGCCGCGTCCAAACAATTTAACATTCCTTCCAAATTTCTCATGCTGCTAGTTCTCCCCTTGAACTTCTCGAAACCAGATGAAAATGCACTTTCATGCCTCAATGTCAGGCCCACATACTCTTCTTACCATTGTCTGTGCTGGGGACTGCTACCGCTCTTATTTCTGCACCCAACCGCGAGACTACAAGTTATTTCAGCCAACACAAGTTCGAACCCAAATTATGATGACGTGTCGAAACAGCTGAGAAAAGGTGGCCTTACTCCCAAATATCTCATCCATCGCTGACCACTCACGCGTTGTATCGCTCGCACAAATTTTGCAATACAAATCTGTAGGCTGATCACCTCGTTGCAAATCCACGTTCGAGGTTTTCAGCCAGTTTTCCCTAGGGGCGACGTGACCTAGACCTCAGCCTTCTTCGCTATTATCACTTTCGTTCTGAGAATCATGAGTCCCTGTTTCCTCAGATATTCGTCCACCTGTCTTTGCGCTTCATCAGCCAGCGCCAACTTTTCTCGTTCACGGTGAGCAAGAGTCATTCTGGCCGTTAGAAGCATTTGGGAGCACCGTAATTGCTTGACCTTGTGCCGCGTAGTGAGCAAAGATCGCCGAAGCCCCTTTCACGTACCGACTCCATGCGTCGTTCGATTTTTTGGGTTTTAAACAGGAAGGATGCTCAGGCTGCATCAGACATCCCATGGCCATCGTCAATGTTTGCATTCCGCGTTGATCAGCCCACTGTTGTGCCAGTCCCCGCTCTACTCCAGTCCATAGGACCTGCCTGGTTTGGCGGAAACTGGGATTGTGAAACTGCTGGTGGATTTGATCTGCCTCCTCAGGCGTCAAATATTGAAGGTAGATAGTCTCATTAGAAGATGCATGAGGCATGACACCCCTATCATGGGAGGACGTAGGCATTTGGCGAAAGGTACCTCAAGTCGATCACGTCGCATCCGAAGACCGAATTACACCATGTCGATTCGCGTGTGCTCAAAAGCAAGATATGGGAGAAAGGCACACTGCGCCATTAAACAATATCTTCCCTCACCTGACTCTTCCAGGCACTCTGGGAACGAAATATACGAGATAACCCCTCCTTGAGATGTCTGCGGGAGGGATAACGACGTCTTGATTGGAACATCAGACCCAACACATGCTCCCTCGGCCGCCAATGTGAATGAGGAAGGGAGATATCATCCATAATTTAAACCGCGCCTCGTATACAGTCAGGAGTACGCCTGTGTTCCAGCGTGTCCCCGCACACGAACAGGTCGTATGGCTCTGTTGAGCAGCGATCTACCACGCAACGCGTGATTTGCGCAAATGCGGACCCAAATGTCTGTTGAGTTGCCCGGCACGCCGGATGTCAAAAGCGGCGGCGTGCCCAGCCTGGCACCATACTCCGCAAGTGCAGTGACGCCTAAACCGAAAGCGAATTTCCTGGCACACAACTTATAGCCTACGGATCTCGCATTGGAAGTGGCATTAAAGTTGGAGCGCACGAGCCACAACTCCGTCGAGGTACTTGTGGCCCGTGCACGACCTGACCAAAGGACAAGGTATAACAAATGATAGCGTCAGCAGAAACCGAGCGATAGGTATCTTGTCTCGCTTTTACCATACTAGCAGCCAAGATGAGGGTGGAATAGGCAAACCACCCACGCTTGAGGTTCTCCTGATTCACGTGATCTGCTCTCTTTCTGGGGGCGCAAAATACGTGCCAAGACATTCCAAAATATCGCCGGACTTCTGATTTGTGAGAGTACGAATTCGTTGCTTTCGAGAAAAATTTGGGCATCTGCACACATATGATCTGCTTCTAGGTTCAGAGACAAGGATACAAGATCTCTTGCCAATCTTCGGCGGACAGAAGCCAGAGAGTCATGTAAGGTACATCAGAGCAAGCTCTGAAGACTGGGAACGATCACTTGCCGATATATCCTGGATTAATATATTTCTGTCAAGTTCTCTTTGCAGACCAAGGAGCTTAGTAAGATTGCTATAGGCTTCTGGGGCGAATGCGTCGAGATCCGTCCGGAAAACAAGCACCAGAAAACTACCACCATGAAGTCATGTTTAACCTACCGACGATCACAGCCACGTGGAGTTGTGCGAGGCTTGAACTATTGTTAGGGTGTGTGTGGTGTGACGGTTGATGCATAGGCAAAGTTTGCCAACAATGGGCGCGCAGCCTGCTGCTATCAAAAATTCACAAAGCCTTGATCGACGGAAGCTTGACCAGGTCTTCGCCTTGTTCACTGGATTGTATCATCAACTAATTCTCTCTTGTAACTCACGCAGCCCTACAAATGCAGTCAATCCGCCACTTCCGAGCTCGCTGTCGCAGGCGCCTCGGAGGATGCGGCCTTATCGACCTTCACAGAGTCATGATACAGACTGACGCCGTGTACCTGGGCGGTCCCATGAATCGATTGCATTGCGCAAGGTCATGTACAATGGACGATCAAAACGCGACGTTCCGATGCAGCCCTTCCCAACCACGTCAGCAATTTTCCGCGAAACTTGGTTGAAGTGAGGAATATTGATGAGGAGGAATACGATACATACGGCTGATGTGCATACTCATATACTAAAAGTGATGGGAGATCTGGTGTTGAATTGCCATGTGGCTCTATGTGGTGCCTGCAAGAAGGTGGTGAGGGGGTGAAGAGGGAACGAAATGCGCAAATCGACACCGAAGACAACGCGAGGAGGTGTCGAAGAAAGAGTTTACTACAAACCGAAGCTTGTGCCCTGATGGAGCCATCGTTGTGGCCTCCATTACGGAGCTTCGAAAACGGCAGACAATTTCTGTGAATGCCTCGTACAACTATGAAACCACTCCCCAGTCGCCCCACAAGACGGCTCGGCAAGAAAGGACGAATATCCGCCCCCACTCGTCGGAGATGGACCAATTCCTCGACGAGGAACAACAGACTTCGGGGGTAGCCATCGCAATGGCCGGAAGTGTACGAAATCATGGAGTGTTCCAGTCCGTCGTGCGGTCAAAGCCCCCACTGCTGGGTGAATTCGGACGGGAAGAAGCATATAAGATTGAAGACGATTCAACTCCGTGAACTGACTGAATTTGTCCGCAATGGTGGTACCGTGCAATCTCATAATGATGTGCCTTAGTATCTTCGGGAACGTTGGATTGCGGCGGAGGAACGTGAGCAGGAGGAGCGGAAAGCCGAGAGCGGCTGCGACGTTTCGTAACGCGCCTCCTAATCATGCCACAGTCATCCAGAGACACCCAACGGACCGCACGCCACCTTTTGGACTCTCCTCCAGCAAATCATCACAGAGTTAGAACAGGCGCATCCAGCGGTCGCAGAGCATTTTTACCATTTAGTGTCGAAGATGAACGACCAGGGTCAACTTGATACCCGCGATCGATACATGACGGCGATGGCTGACGAAGTCGTGTGGGCTTGGAGAGACAACCGTCCACTAATTTTAGCTAAGCTTGTGAAAAACGACTGCGGCCGGGGAATTTTCGTGCCTTCTAGGCCGCATTGCTTGCCTCGGAAGGTCTTCTGGTCGTGGCATTTCACGTCGGATGGGTCCTCAGACGGTACGCTGGAGCCGGTCGACAAGCACGTAGAACTCGATGTCAGCTCTGAGGTAGATCCCAGCGGCCAGGTACTCCTACAGTTGCAATCCAACGATGGGTATATGGGTTGTGCTTCTCGGTCATCCAGCCCGACAAGAAGTGCGCTTCCCTTGGCCCCAGTCCTTCGCGATGGGCGATAGTGACCAAGACCAATCCACGAGAGAGACTGGGGGCCGTGTCTGATTGGCCCTACTAAGGTCAGACCAGAC